GGGATCCTTATTTTAAAATAAAATACGAAACGAAATGTTTTAGACACGAAATGAATCGTGGATTGGTTGAAATCTTTCATCTCTTTTGTCTGTTTTTCTTTCCTTCTTACGAATTTTTTTTTCCGAAAAATTGAGCCGCTTGTAGAATTTGAACCCATGACAAAACCTGATATGAATTGTTTCAAAGATACTGTATTAAGTGCATATACAGGGCGTTGCTGTTTTAAAAAAAAAGGGATGACTAAAAAATGAGCTTTGCATTATGGGAAAATGGAACGCGAATATAAGTGGATTTGGTGTGGGGGGGGCATCAGTAGTTGCTCCGTTTTGAAAAGACCTTTGTTCATTATGGATTGAATATCCATAAAAAAAACACTTAATTTTGCATCGAGGAATTCTGTTTATCTCACATCGAATATCCAGGAAATCAAATGAAAGTCCTTTATTGATTTTCATATCGAATATCTGAGAAATAAAATAAAAGACCTATATTGATTTTCTCATCGAATATCTGAGAAATAATATTAAAGAATTTTATTGATTTCATATCGAATATCCGAGAAATAAAATAAAACTCTTTGTTTATTTGAGATCGAATATCCGGGAAATCTAATAAAAGAGTTTTATTTATTTTCATATCGAATATGAATATCGAAATAAAATGAAAGAATTTTATTGATTTCACATCGAATATCTGGGAAAAAAAATTATTTTCATAGCGAATATCCGGGAAATAAAATAAAAAACCGTTATTGATTTTCACATCGAATATCTGAGAAATAAAATTAAAAAAATTATTGATTTCATATCGAATATCCGAGAAATAAACTAAAAATTCTTTGATTATTTCACATCGAATATCCGGGAAATCAAATAAAAGTCCTTTATTGATTTTCATATCGAATATCCGGGATATCTGATCGAATATCCGGGAAATCAAATAAATCCTTTATTGATTTTCATAAAAAATCAAATAAAAGTCCTTTATTGATTTTCATATCGAATATCCGGAAATCAAATAAAAAGTCGATATTCATAAATATAAATAAAAGTCCTTTATTGATATTCATATCGAAATCTAAAAATAAAAGTCCTTTATTGATATTCATATCGAATATCCGGGAAATTTTATTGATATTCATATCGAATATCCGGGAAATCAAATAAAGTCGAATATCCGGGAAATCAAATAAAAGTCCTTTATTGATTTTCATATCGAATATCGGGAAATCAAATAAAAGTCCTTTAATAAATAAAAGACCTTTATTGATTTTCATAAATATCCGGAAATCAAATAAAAGACCTTTATTGATTTTCATATCGAATATCCGAAATCAAATAAAAAGTCCTTTATTGAATATCCGGGAAATCAAATAAAAGTCCTTTATTGATTTTCATATCGAATATCCGGGAAATCAAATAAAAGACCTTTATTGATTTTCATATCGAATATCCGGGAAATCAAATAAAAGTCCTTTATTGATTTTCATATCGAATATCCGGGAAATCAAATAAAAGTCCTTTATTGATTTTCATAAAATATCCGGAAATCAAATAAAAGTCCTTTATTTTCATATCGAATATCCGGGAAATCAAATAAAAGTCCTTTATTGATTTTCATATCGAATATCCGGGAAATCAAATAAAAGTCCTTTATTGATTTTCATATCGAATATCCGGGAAATCAAATAAAAGTCCTTTATTGATTTTCATATCGAATATCCGGGAAATCAAATAAAAGTCCTTTATTGATTTTCATATCGAATATCCGAGAAATAAAATAAAAGACCTTTATTGATTTTCACATCGAATATCTGAGTAAAAAAAATAAAGAATTTTATTGATTTCACATCGAATATCCGAGAAATAATAAAAAAAAAAACCTTATTGATTTTCATATCGAATATCTGGGAAATAAAAAAAGACTTTTATTGATTTCACATGGAATCGTTGAATTGAAGGAGATAGTTTATAATTTGTTCGGAACATTTCAGGATTAAGGAGAATTCGTTCGTTTTTGCTTTTTCACTAAATCGATTTTTAGATTTATTCGATACCAAAAGATTCCGTGTTTCTTCTTAGGAGAAATTTGTTTTATTAAAATCCAAAATAAACGACTCTTAAATGCTATGAGAATAATTTTGTATTGTTTACCACCGCAAAGATTTGAAAATACAGATCTGCTGTCTTTTTATCATTACAAAATCCTAAACTCAAATCTATAATAATAATAAGAAGAAGAAGAAGAAGAAAAGAATACTACAGGCGTGTACGTCTGGTACTAAATACTGAGCTAAACTCAAAAAACAGGATATCAGCCATAAACACATTGGCTGTCCCTGTGGTGCAATACAGCTTTAATGTCATTAACTGGACCATAGCTGAAATTAAGTGAATGGATGCCAAAACGAGAAAGCTACTCACTTGCTATCGCATGCATCATCCCAAAGCTGATGTCGACCGTCTGTATGTGCACAGATCCGAAGGAGGCAGAGGATTAGTTCAACTAGAACTGGCCTACAAAACTACAACAATTGGCCTCCAAAGATATTTGGAAACTACAGAAGACTGGATGATGGTATGCGTCAAGGAACATGAAAGTAGTTAGCGTCTCTACTCCGTAATGAAGGAAGCCAACAAATTCAAAATGGAGTTCCAAATGGGTGTAGAGATGCAACTACAGCACAAACACACCGGCTGAAACTGCAAAATACCTAAAAAAAGATAGCTAAGACGAATGCAACCGACCAGTTACAGAAGCGATGGCAAGATAAACCGCTTCATGGCCAATACTCTGCCCGTACCAAACAAGCTGACGTAGACAAAACCCGTACCCATCAGTGGCTACGTAGTGCAGGGTTGAAAGCGGAAACTGAAGGTTTTATCCTTGCTGCGCAGGACCAATGCTTGCTAACTAGGAATTATCAAGCACATATACTAAAATATTGTGTCAGCCCAAAAACAGATTCTGTGATAAATATCCAGAAACGATTGAACATCTTGTATCAGGTTGTACGGTGTTGGCACCCACTGAATATAAAACCCGACATGACAGAGTGGGCCAATATCTGCACTGGAAAATCTGCAACTTCTACGGGAAGAAAACAGAAAAAACTGGTATGAACACCACCCAGACCCGGTTACGGAGATAGGACCTGTTACAATTGTATGGGATTACACAATACACACTGACAGAACAATCAAGGCCAACCGGCCAGATATTGTCATTAAAGACCACAAACAAAAACGGTGCCTCCTTATTGATATGGCAGTCCCTGCTGACTGCAATGTATCTTTGAAGATATTCAAAAAGTTGTCAAAATACAAGGACCTTGAAATAGAAATCTCGAAAATGTGGCATATGGGAACATCAACAATCCCTGTTGTAGTTGGAGCCCTAGGACTGGTTGGAAAAGATTGCAGTAGACTAATTGAAGGGATTCCTGGAGGTCCATGCCTCAAGGAGATACAAAAAATTGTTCTGACAAGTATAGCCCACACCTTACGAAGGGCTTTATCTATGTAATTTAATTTTTTGTCAGTGGAAAGTGTCATGACGCCATTTCTAACCTTAGGTCCCTGGGCGGGACCCGGAAAGAAATGTGTAAACGCCAGAAATCAAAGAAAATGATAATAATAATAATAATAATTTTATCACGGTGACTTCTCAATGGAGGGACATATGGATATGAATAACTTAATCATTGTATATTTTTAAATTCTTAATAAAACAAACAAAGTTATCCCGATTTTTTTTTTTTTTTGTGGCCAGTTTTTTAGATTTGGCTTACGTAATTGTCTCGGCTCTTAAACCGAAAAATGTTTACAAAATATTAAAAAAAAACAAAAAAAAAAACTGACAATTATTTTGTTTTTTTAATTTTTAATGAACCACACACAATGTGTGAAAGCCGCCTGAAGTTTACTTCGAAATGTTTCGTTGAATTTTAGGTAATGTCCGGAATGTTTGCATTTATGAAACTTTTAAATACAGTTCAACTGTCATGTTGTTTTTCCATTCCCTCACACTTTCTTGCTCGTATCTACATACATAATTAATAATTATTTACATTCGGAAGTATGTGTAAATTTACACACGTATGCATGGCGTGGTCGGACATTTGGCCGACAGACATTTGGCCGAAAGACATTTGACCGACGGACATTTGGCCGAGAGATATTTGGCCGACGGACATTTCACCGAAAAAGTACAAGTAAAAATAGTAACAAATAATACTGTAAGCATTTTAATTAGCAGTATTATAAGATAGAATAGGACTAATAATTATCATTTAATTTCAAGTGATTAAATTGCTAAATCTAAATTTAAAGTTAAAAGTTTTCATATTTGAATATTTGTTTATTGAAATTAATATTTTAAAAATATCTGAGTGTATTTGGGTAGAAAGTAGCACCTAATTATTTAAATTCGTATTTAACAGTAAGATAAAAGCTAGTTCATCACTTTAAGGTAATGATCATTAAAAGCGAAATTGAAAGATCTTTCACGTCGTAAAAGCTTAAATGTGCTTTTGCTTAAAATACTTATCATCTTACAGTAATATTTGAAGTAAAATATAATACATACAGAATAGATTTTAAAAAAAGCCTGTCAAAAAAAAAAAAAAAATTATAAATTAATACAGTAAATAAATAAATATAAATATATATAACACACTACGATAAAGAGTGTGACATGCATGTAAGTACGCCATTACATTTTCGGCTAAATGTCTATTAAACCAAATGTTGGTCGGCCAAATGTCCGAGTCCCTACGCATGGAAATAAACACAATTTACGGACACACACACAAGCAATCCCTTTTCATTTTTAAAGTGGGGTTTAATAAATAGTCGCAATGTAGTAAAATACAAAATTTTGATACACACATCGTTTCACTGCTGGGTTAGAGGTCAGTTCTAGAGATGTCAGATTTATTGATTTCTTGGTGTCAGCTATTTTGTTTTACTTCTCGTTCTTTCTCGTGACGCAAACGAGACTACAACGGTCTAATGACAGATTTCTCTAACTGCTGATGCTGAGTCCGTATGGCCATTCTATTGACGTGCACGGGAATTGGCACAATTATTTTCGGTTTGTTGTTCGGATCTCCACCATGACGCCCGTGAACAATACCGGCCTTCACTCTCTTCCACTTGGCGCGGCGATTTTGAAACCATATTTTTACCTGCACTTCGCTGAGCTTGAGGTTGTGTGCAATCTGCGAACGCTCGGTCAAAGAAAGGTACTTCTTGCTGTGAAATTCTTTCTCCAGTTCCAGGAGTTGTTCGCTTGTGAAGGCCGTCCGTCGACGTCGAGTTTTGTTGGTGGTCCCACTGCCGCTGACAAAGTCGTCTGTTTTGCCACCTAATTTGCTGTCGCTGTCCGGCGAGAGTGAACGACGTGGAGACATACCCGTACCGTCAGTCCCGTCACTGTCGACACTGCAGTCGTTGGCACTCACTCCAACACAGATATCATCAGAACGAAGGCGAGTGTCTGAAATAACAAACAAAATGAATTTAATGTAAATAAATGAAGCATTGACTTGAGAGAAATAGATTTTTGAAGAAATAAGACAAGATAAAACCTTTCAAAACAAAAACTACACTCTGGAATTAGAATGAAAACAGTGATGGCTCATGCCTTGAACCCATCTTAAAAACTCAGGATGTGGAACTAGTTAATACTAAACACTTCAAATATCTCGGTATAGGTATCCATGGCATCCGTTGGTCCCGAGAAACCTTGGATCTGCACCCAAAGAATTATGCCCCAGCTGCTGATGGACGCGCAGCATCTGCTATGTTTGTACAGTCCCACACGGGTATGACAATCTCGATTGCAATGAATGTATTGTCAAGACGCTCTCCCCTAATGTTGCTTCTTCTTTTTTTTTTTTTTTTTCGATATATAACTTGTAGATCGTAAAATGCAATGTTGGTAATAAAAAATATATTTAAAATTTTCTTGTTTACTGTTGCATTCATTGTCATTTTGCCATAAAAACGTATTAGTTATTTTATTACAAAAATGTACTGTTGATTTATTTATTTATTTTATTTTATTTTTTTTTTTTTTTTTTGTCTGGGCTAACTATTTGCCCTTAGCTGGGACCCTAACATGTGCTACCACCCCAATTACTAATATTACCATTACCAATATAGGAGTTTGATCAAAAAGTATCGGGATCGTTGCTATGGAAACGGAGTTAAACTACGCATAGTAAAGCCGCCTGGCACAGACTGACCTTGAACTCTGCTGCGTATGCACACTAAGTTATAACGTTCTCTGCCACTTTCGTTGTTTATAGTAGTGCTTGGAAGGCAAGTGTGTAGAGTGTGTCACTTTTTGAAAAAAATAAACATTGCTGAGGAGTGAGTGTAGTTAAAATAATAACAGTGTCAATGGAAAAATCGTCCTTTTAACATTTTTTCTTTCACGAAATTCCAAGTTTGCATATATATATATATATATATATATATATATATAAGGGAGAGATCATAGTTGTTCCAACGGGAGAAAAGTGTATATTTTAAAGAGAAAAGAGAAGCCGCAAACGTTTTCTTTTTTTAAATATATATTATACTTTATTTTCCTTATGTTTTGCTACATGCGTTTTGGGTCTTGTGAACTTCATCAGGCGAAGATGGTTATTTCCTCATGTTATTTAAAGAAATTAATTTTTGACCTATGTTTTTTAGGTTTAACCATTGTCTTTTGTATGTTGTACCAATCTAAATTCTTCTTGGACTGCATATATTACATTGCTTGCCTATATATATATATATATATATATATATATATATATATATATATATATATATATATATATATACGCTCTATCCCAGATATTGAGCACTTTAATCCATAAATATAGCATACCTTTTGAAACAAATTTATATATATATATATATATATATATATATATATATATATATCCTCAAACGTTATTTTTATTGGATACCCATGATTGAAATAGATGCCCTGTTTTTAAACACTGTGTATTGCATCTACCAGCCTGAACACACGAGAAAACGTAGAAAAAAAAGTGCGAATAAATAAGTTACTCCGTAAGCTATATTTTATCCCCTTAAATAATTTTTTGTCGTGTTATACAATGAAAACTGTATATGTGTACATTTTTTTGCGTGCCTGCCATAAAAAGTAACCTATGTGAGTGTGTCGTATCTGTGGTCGAAAAGCAAGAACAAAAAAGATGCCGTAAGACAGGAGGAGAAGTGAAACGATCCAGTTGAAGAGAAAGAGAAATGAGAAAACGGAGACAACATCTTTGTTGTATTTGGTGGAGACACAGCGCAGACCCCCCAGGCATAACACACGTCCAGTGATAAAGGCAACACTTTAGAAAAAAAAAAAAAAAAAAAAGATTAATACCCGAACTATCATTTTTAACCAGCGAGGCGGATCAGCCAAAAGACGATACAAAAATCCGACCCTTTTCAATGAAAGCAGCTCATTGAGCCTCAAATTGAAAAGAGAAAAAAAAATGTCCAAAATTATTTTATTTTTCCTTTTTTTTCCCCCGTTGTTTTTTCTTCTCTTTATAGAAATAAATGGAGAGTTGCGATGTTTCGTGACTCAAGAACTGTTCGTAACTTATCCTCCAGCAGGTGCTACTCCCGGTTAACATAGCCTGTGAAATTTGTCATTACGGAGCCATGTTCTGGTAGATGACACAAAATAAACATTACAAGAACGAATCTAGATTAATATCTTTTGCTTTTTTTTTTTTTCGATCGGGAGCTACAAGATATATAGTATCAACATCACGTTGGAGAGATTCACCGCCTGAAAGGTGGGTTTACGGCCGCATCATATTGAACCACCGTTTCCCGTACGATCACAGAAATTAATCAACGTCGAGCTTGGTCAGTATCTAAGATGGGTGACCGCTTTGGAATACCAGGTTCTATAAGCTTGGATGTGCGGGTGGTGTAATGTATAATAGCTCGAAATTGTTAATCGGAGAGCCGGTTTCCAATTCCCGTTGGGTTCGTTATATGTTACGTTAATAGCTGGCTGGCCACTCGTATTGCAGGCGTATTTTTGATTCGATTATACTCGATTGATCAGGTGCGTTTTTGAGTCCACCTGTGGTTTATACTGCAACTATGCTGAGCAGGCCTTAGTTACAGTTTCTTGGAGAGAAGCGTGTTATTTATCGTGATCAACAATTTGAACAAGGCCAGCACACTCAAACCCTCAGTCATGATGACTTGTGTCTTCGTGCTAGCACAACCATAGACGGCCCCTCCCAAAGGTTACTTCTACCTAATTTCACTCACAAGGCATGGGTCAACCCGTAGTATGGTTTTCAGTTTCAGTCACTTTCCAAAGGTGCTGCACGCTGGGATCGCCTCCACCAGGCCGATAACATCAAGAAGTCACCTTCCTGACAAATCGCCCATGGTGAGATTCGAACCCGGGTCTTATGGTCATAAAGCAAACGTTCTAATCACTCGGTCACGTGCTCTACGTTATATGTACGCATGCGCAAATACTCTTGGGAAAAGTATGAATCCAACTCTCCCTCCCCAGTTATGGGTTAATTAGTTAGACTTGTCCCTTCAACACGTGGGCGATCATGACTCTCCACGATCTCTTGTCTTTTGTATCATTATTAACATTTGCCACGCCGCCCTCTCCCAGTTCCACCATATATTCACACTAGCTCGCCAGGTAGGCGCTCTGATGCATTTCCCTCGTCATCTTTGCTTTCGATATGCCCTGAGGGTGTCAAATTCTCCAAGCCTGCCTTCCTCATTATATGACCCAGAAATTTCAGCTGTCTCTTTCTGATCCTGAGTATGTTGATTTTCTAAACTTGGCTTAGGTGTGTCACAAGGCCGAAAGTATGGGGCACCCAGTGAGGGTCGAATTCACTACTCAGTCGTAATTGTTCTAGTGAGACAAGCTTGCTAAGCATTATGCCATATCGAGGTGCCCTTCTGATCTTGGACATTTTCTTTGTTGCTTAAACGCTCCATCCATGATGTTCTCAGCATCCTTCTGTAGAACCACATGTCTGTTGTCTACAGTTTTCTCTTCACCTGTGAAGTGATTGTCCCGCATTCACAGACATGTAGAATGACTGTTATTGCGTAACAGTTCAGTTCTCTTGTCTTTGTTTTGAACGGAATTTTCTTGTTTCTTAATACTTTGCTTAGTTTTTGGAAGGCATCTTTTGTTAATCCATTGCGCGTTCCGAGTCGTCTACAATAATTTTATACTCCATACGTGCAAAATATATTGGATTATATACAAATCTATTGGAACTATGGGATCTTTAGCATCTTGGGTGGCAACTAGTCTACGAGAAAGACTACACCGACTTTAAAGAACCAAGAGAACCAGTCGGACCCAGAAATGTCACCAATCGTGATGAACGGATGTTCCATCAGGGAGGCTCCGCGTCTTGAGCGCCTATTAGAACTTAAACCTCAGCCCAGACCTCAAGTAGAACACGTACATACAATCCATCGCTAGATGCTGGAAAATGACCGCTCTAGTATGTACTTGACTCCTCCCGCTGTCTTCTACTTGTACAAGTGCCAGATCAGCCCGAAAATGGGGGAATTCCTGCCATGTATGGGCGGGAGTTGACTATTTTTCCATTTTTTGATATATTCCAAAAAGTGTCTCCGCGTCCTTGTAGGCGACGAATTAGTTTCTACGCTGCAATCTCTTTCTCACAGACGAGACGTCGCAAGCCTATCACTGCTCTATCGCTATTTGCATTGAAAGTGTTTAGATGAACTACACTCCTTAGTTTCGCCAGTCGTAACTTTCACGGCGAAGACCGGCCATGCCACGCACATTGTAGCGAACCACGCGACGTAAGTTCCACTCAAACAGCTTTTACCCACGAACCATTGCCTCGTGAACCGACTCTCAAGAGGTTGATTGCCCTATCACTGCAATCATAACGTTCAAGTCTAGGGTTAACCATTATCTTCCACACTACCCTAACTCTCTACCTCGAGAGGCCCTCGGGCTTTGTATACGTTGTAAAAAAAAAAAAAAAACGTAGCCAGCGAGGAATCCACTCCAATATCTTTTACAAGATGTTTTTGAATTCACACATCATAAAAAAATGGAATCTGTGGTGAGCCATAATTGTCTTCGTCTTGAAGAAAGGGAGACTTTTCTGTATTCAAAACTGTGTAGAAAAAAAAGTCAATGCTATTTACATATAATCAAGAAAAGGACGCTATAGATAGCCATGACTGCTTACGTCCTAAAGAAAGGGAAACAACTCTGAACTCAAAACTATTAGGTAGGAAACTGAATCCACCCGACTATCTTTCCTAAAAAATCAAAGCAATTTATGTATCATCAAGAAAAGGAAGCTGTGAAGATCCATGATCTCTTACGGCCTGAAGGAATTACTCTAGATTCAAAACCGGGGAAAAGGCAACGCGTGACAACCACTGCACTATCTTTCACGGCAAATAATAAATAGTAAAGGAAGGGAAGCTGTGGAGAAACATTATCGTCATCGTCCAGAAGGGGAATAAAAATATATATTTCAGCGACAATCATCAAGCGGCAGTTAGCGTGTTTGTCTCGAAAAGCCTAGTCAGTGAATTCTGATCTAATGTGGGCGCTAAAGAAACATGTCTGACCTCGACTTGGCCTGTTTATAAATAACATCTCCGTTTCATTTTTGTTCTTTTCTGAAACAAGACTTTTCTCTCTGTCATCATCGCTTTTTGCTATTCAATCTTATTCTGCTCCTCCCCTATACAATATTATTATTGCTAACCAATTCGTTATTGAGGGCAAAGTCACTGACCTGGAAACAGGAGCTGCTCATCATGAGATTAGTTTAAGAGACACGCAGAATACATTTGTTGAAATATAAAAAAAGTAATGATTTACTGTGACTTGTCTCCGGATGGTTGTCGGTCTTAGTTTCAGCTAATCACCGTGCTTTTTATTTTAGTCAATTTTTATAGCCGTTGAATTGTCACTGGTGAAATTTAACCCCCACTGACCCCACAAATTCTGCCAATGCCACAAAGAAGGAAACTTTTACATTTTCACTATTTAATGTGGAGCTCAAATTCGATGAGATTATCGATAATATCAGTTATTTTGTTTATTTTGATGTCACTGTTTTCTTTTTTCTTCTTTTTTTATTGTCCTTCTTTTACTTTTTTCTTCTTTTTCTTCTTCTTTTTCATTTTCTTCTTTTACTTTTTTCTTTTTTTTTATTCTTCTTTTCTTTTTTTTGTTCTTCTTTTCTTTCTTGTTTTTTTTCTTCTTTTTCATTTTCTTCTTTTCTTCTTTGTTCTTTTTCTTCTTCTTTTTCTTCTCTTTTACTTGTTTTTTCTTGTTCTTTTTTTCTTGTTCCTTTTCTTGTTGTTGTTGTTCTTCTTCTTCTTCATCTTCTATGTGCCATGTCACTTCAGGACGTAGTCGATCATGGCTCTCCACAATTCCCTCTCCTTTGTTTTCTTTCTGAATTTACACCTCGCTCATCCTTCTTCTTCTATGTGCTGTGTCCCTTCAGGATGTTAGCAATCATGGCTCTCCACAATTTCCTGCTCTTAATAAACTTGTCCTTTTCTTATCACTCCTAAACCTTGTTCCGTCATCCATTTACTTTGCTAGGTTGCTTATACGTTGTTTTCATTCTCCCTCTTGTCCTGTGAGTATCAGATTTTCCGAGGACTGTTTCCTCGTTATATAACCTAGAAATTTCTTCCTGATATTAAGTATAAGTGTCCTTTTTGTTGTCATTGTCGCTAGAATTTCGTTCTTGGTCACATGTTCGGTCAATGGCACTCTCTCCTTCTGCAGAATCTCATTTTCTGTTGCTTCACGTCTCTTCTTCATATGTGAGATTGTCCAGCATTCGCTCTCATACAGGAGGACTGATATTATATAATAGTGAAATAGATGTTTTGTTTCTAACGATTGTTTTCACTTTCTTAATACTTCGCTTAGCTTTTGGATGGCATCTTTCTCTATCTCATTGCCGCAACTTCCGTCCTCTGTAAAAACACCTCTCTGATTATAAAAATACATTCAGTTCAATTCCAGATACACAGATTTTTTTTTCGCCTATTCACGACTGGATTGACATCAAATGAGGCTGTAAACATAGCCCAGCAATGGTGCTTCACCATTGCTTAGCCATACCTCCCTTTAATAACAACTTGTCATAGATTTTTATTATATCATTGTCATCGCCATTATCATTGGTCAACCGGGTGTGGTCGTAGGGTCGTTGCGCAACTGAGCACTTGACTACTTCCCTCAACATGTCTAGGTTGAAAACCGGATAGGTATTTATTCATGCATAGTGTGTCTTGGGAAAATACACCTAGCTGATCCCATCCATCTCTAGGTCAAACCACAGCTGATGTCCTCCAACTCGAAGTCTCGCCTTGGCCCACAGACACGTGGCCGTTGATTCCATCGGGGGGGGGACCCTATGCTCTAGGATGCGCTCTGCATAGCGATACCGTATCACCACCACCTGACTGCATCCGTAGTTATGGAGACCCGTCTACCCTATCGTGTTCGATGACCGTTGCCTTAAAACATTCGTTTTAAATCCTTCTGGCTGTCTGGCCACTATACTCACCAGGTAGTACTGGGTTACAGTTACATTGTACCAGTATTACTCGTATACTGATCTGATATGAGATATTTAAATTATTTATGTTACATCCTCCGGTAGGATTCGAACCTGAGAAGCCGTCAGTAGATTCGATATGCTTTTAACAGACTCGACCATGAAGGGCGACGTCTATCAAGCAAGGATGAGATGTACGTTTCACTGGAGAAGTTTGTTTCCGAGAAGCTTCTTTCCTCTCTGTGGAACCGACTCCCAAGAGGGTGTTTTCCCGATTACTACAATATTAACCTTTTCAAGTCTAGGATTAACCGTTATCTTCCCCATGTATCCTCATAAAGTGTGCCTCTTACTTTGTAGCTCTCTACCCAGAGTGGCTCCCGGGTCTTGTACAGAGTAAACATCATGTAAAAAAATAAATAAAAATAATAAACATCTGTGTTGCCTCAGATCTCCTCTTCATCTGTTGAAGAATTGCTCAAAATTCATTGCCATACTGGAGATCTGATATTACATACCAATTCTTCAGCAATCTTTTCTTTGATTGTTTATATATATATATATATATATATATATATATATATAGATATTAAGACATTTTTATGTTTATTCATTCTTTTTATAGATACAAATATTTAAGTAAATGCTCTGTTTATAATAAACAGTATTAAACAACATTTACCGGCCTGAATATCCGAGAAATTTTTCATAGAAAATATTCGTCCTCCGACAGGAAACGAACCTGTATCCTATACGGAACCGTTATATAGCCTGACGTGCCTTTAACCGATTTGGCCACAGAGGAGCGTTTGGTTAGCAAGGTCGAATTTACTGCCTTTAAATTTCAATCATCCATGAATCTCTCACGTACATTCATATCTGCTCAAAGCGTATCCAAATGTAAACAAATGACGTCACACATTATGAAATGGACAAAGTCCGACAATTATTTTAAGACATTTTTATGTTTATACATTCTTTTTATAGATACAAATATTTATTATAAACAGAGCCTTTACTTAAATATTTGTATATATATATATATATATATATATATATATATATATTTCTGTTTCTTAACACTTTGCCTAGCTTTTGGAAGGCATTTCTTGAGATTTCAATGCATATTTCGGATCTCGGTGTCACATTTTTCGGGATCTGTTATGATACTTCCATTTAATCCTTGATTAGTTCATAATAGATTTGTTATTTTTTTCTTTATCAATTGAATAGAACGTTCACTGCGCATCTTTTAAACATCCACTGTTAAAACGGGTTGAGGCATTAAAAAAAAAGATGAGGTAGGCCGATGAGTCTGTCGGCCGAGACAACACCAATGGATATTCTGATCTAAAGCTGTCAAAATGTAATAATGTGTGATCAAACGAAGAGAAGGATTGAATCACCAACCAGGACGCTTTGGTTCTGCCTATCTTCCAGCCTCGGTGCTAAACAATCTTTCTCTTCTTACATGCTCCACCTGTTTTCTATTCCTTCTCTCGCTCGTTCGTTGCGTCTATTCCAAATCGACTGTGTGCGGTAGGTAGAGAGATGAACGGCGTGGCCATTTGGCAGGAAGCCAGATGGAGGCTGGCGTTTGCTCGCTAAGCTAATAGGTAGAACTTGACACCGCGGCGAATAATTCGTCCGACATTCGTCGTGTTATCTAGCCATTAGAACGACAGATATTTGCAAGTCGACAATAGAGTCAAGCAGACATAACAACTATAAATTAGCCGTAAGACTAACAATTAGCGAAAGAACGAGCGTTTCTGTTTCCCGTTGGCGAATTCGTTGAACAATGGCCGATTCGCCGATGCTATATAGCACGAAGCAAGTGAATTACACTTGAAGCAAATAGATGACATCTACGCTGACAGTTATTGCTGTTAGCATCGCTCAGTATCAAAGAAGGAGAAGAAGAAAAACAACAACAACAAAAACAAGATAGATGACTAGATAAAGAAAAGAAAAGAAAGAAAGTAGATAGATAGATAGATAGATAGATAGATAGATAGATAGATAGATAGATAAAGAAGAAGATAGATGACTAGGTAAAGAAGAAGAAGAAGAAGAAAATTAATGACTAGGTGAAGAAAATAGATGACTAAGTAAAGAAGAAGAAGAAGAAGAAGAAGAAGAAGATAGATGACTAGGTGAAAAAGGAAAACATAGATGACTAGGTAAAGAAGAAGAAGAAGAAGAAGATAGATGACTAGGTGAAGAAGGAGAAGATAGATAAATAAGAGAAGATAGAAAAAAAAAGAAGGAGGTAAATGAATAGGTGAAGAAGATAGATGACTAAAAAAGGAAGAAGAAGAAGAAGGAGAAATAGAAAAAATAGATGAGTAATAAAGAAGAAGAAGAAGAAAAAAGAAGAAGAAGAAGAAGATAGATGACTAGGTGAAGAAGGAGAAGATAGATAAATAAGTAAAGAAGAAAAAAGGGAGAAGAAGAAGAAAAAGAAGAAGGAGGTAAATGAATAGGTGAAGAAGAAGATAGATAACTAGGTAAAGAAGAAGAAGAAAATTAATGACTAGGTGAAGAAAATAGATGACTAAGTAAAGAAGAAGAAAAAGAAGAAAAAGAAGAAGAAGATAGATGACTAGGTGAAAAGGAGAACATAGATGACTAGATAAAGAAGAAGAAGAACAACAACAACAACAATAAGATAAATGACGAGGTGATGAAGAAGAAAAATATCTAGACTGAAGCTGCCCAAACCATTTTTTCAGATTTGACAGAGTTCAAAAGCATTTACGCTGCTTTGTAAACGATGAATTATTTTCCACTCTTCGACCCCCTCTCCCACCGACGCAATGTTGCAAGCCACTCCCTACACTATCGATACTTCCATGGAAAATATTCAGGCAATATTCTATAGTTTCACTATTTCAGAATATTTACATTTAAAACTCGCCATGCTATGCACAAAGGCGCAAAGCATCTTCATTCTTTGCATTCCAGTGTTAAGGAGTTAGTTCTAATCTGACAGCTTTTTAGCAAGAACTGTTTCTTGTGGAATAGACTCCTGAGAGGAGGCACCCCAAATCACTACGATTTTACGCAAGTCCTCCCCGTAGGCTGGGGCCAAAATTCCCCGTATACCGTAGGTCGGATTTGTCTACCTTCCCAGATGAGACTCTGCCCTTCGGCATAGCCTCATCTTGATTCCTCCCTGCCCGAAAAGTTCGACGGGCTAAGTATTGTTAAGCCCAGAGGTTTGATGAACTATAGGATTTTAACTCGTCTAGGGTCAACCATAACCTAGCGTACTTATCCTAATCTACACTTCCTTTCGACGCCCATACAACAACCTCATTTAGTAATGACTAGCAGTAGAGCCCGGCGTTGCCCGGGGATGCAACAGTAAGAGATAGATCAAGTATCGACCATCGTGAAGACTGAAAAATAAAATTGACAAAGATTATTGTTTAAGGTTGACGGACACGCATGTCTTAATTGGTTATTTTTGGTTGTTTTTTTGTTTTTTTACGAATTGGTCAAACCCAAACTCAAACAAAAACATTGTTTTCAATCGTTATGAGTCTACCGATTGAATAGAATTTTATTATAAACAATTGTCTTGTAAATGGAATTTTTAAAGCATTCTGAATGTAAAAATAAAGAAAAAAGTGTGCAAGACAATAATAAACACTACCTGCCAAAAGAAAAAGTGAAGTTTTGTTGAAATCGGTTGAAAAATGTAGGAAATCCGATCCCATATACAAACGAACACACACACACACACTCAAACAACCTGGGTTTTATAATAAGTATAACTCGATATAAGTTGTCCCCCTTTCAATCGTGTTTTATCGTGTTTTAAAATTGATTTCATGCACAAACAATTGTGTTTTTCCAATTTTTGGCGCTGTCAGAACCACCGCAAGGTAATTTTACGCAGTCCTGTGAAGTTTTGTTGAAATCGGTTGAAAAATGTAGGAAATCCGATCCAATATATAAACGTACAGACACACACACAATCTGCGTTTTATAATAAGTAAGATCTACCTTGAATGGCTACTGGGCCTTGTATTGGGTGAGCAACAGTATACTAAAGTGAAAATAAATTGTGTTTGCCAAATAAACAAACATAAGCCACTTTGATAAGATTCGATATGTCTCTAGCTGAGAAACAAAATCATCCGTAAGAAAACTCACACACACGCGCGCGCGCGCGCTCGCACACATACACATACACACACACACACATAAACAGAAGTAACAATTTACTAAGCGTAGAACTCGAAGCGCTCGAACACCAGAAAATGTCCAGACTGTGAGGCAATCTATTCCGCAATTCTGTAAATCGTTCCGTAAGCACTTTTCTGCTTTGGGGTTGTCTGACCGAAGAGTCGGAAGAATTTTACGCACCGATCTAGACAAATTAATGGTTGTTCAGGAACTACATGAACACGACTAGGAAACTCGCAAAGCATGCTGTGACGATATACTTCAAGATGTCCCTGCAAATGCTGTTCTGCTTGCAAGTGATGAAGCTCACTTTTATATCTGTCTGCGTCAATTCGCTACTGGGTGGAAAATGATTCGAGACAGCTCCACGAAAGACCTGTACACAGCGAATGAGTGACTGTGTGATGCACAGTTTCATATGGGGCTCTTACTTTTTGAGGAAAGTGACCACTTAGTTATAGCAACATCTGACCGGTATGTGGAGATATTGCAGACCTGTCTGGAACCGATACTCAAAGACATTACGAACCCGGATGTGTGATCTCAACAGGATGGAGCCACACCAAGAGGTTCAAAGATTTTTTTTTTTTAATAGCAGTTACCTTGGTATTTTTATGAACTGTAAAGTATGGGACGTATTTCTGCCGCACTCTGTACAGTTAATTTTTTACGATAAGTTTTCTTCTTTTTTTTTTTTTTTGGAGACTGCTTGAAGTGCTTAATTTATTATATAATCCATTGCGTATTCGCGGGTAACACAGTGATCTTCAACGTGGGCGATAATGTCTCCTTGTGAATTCTCAAGTTAGCATGTGTTCAAGAGCCTTAAAAATGAAAAGCACTATAATTTTAAGAAAAGGATTTGATTCGTTCAAACGAATTAGGCTTTTTACATTTTTTTTAAAGATCGTTCCTGGATATTTACATATTTAAATATTTTAACGCATTTGCAATATGTCTATAGAACAAATACTTGCATATCAATGTCTGTCAGCCTCGGTGGTCCGGTACGGTACGGTAACCGCTGCGTATCTGTTTCCGTCACAGTTTACTTCCGGTGTTTGGTGCTGATATAATCTAGCTAAACGTAAACACGTGACATTAATTTTGCTGCATAAATTATGCATCATTTACCAGTGCAATCGTAAGATTGGCTGGCGCCAGCTCGCACAGAGTTGCAAGAGAAGAAATGGTTACGAACCACTGAGGTAACATAAAAACAGTCTGGCGGGAGAGTAGAAAATTCAACTCCAGTTCGAACTTCCTTTCCTTTCGGACAAAGCCTCAGAAAGAAAATGTAATACTTTAAAAGCCCCAGTCGAAATGTGTCATGTGATGTGATTCTTAAGGACGACGGAAAAAAAAGAAAGAAAGAAGAAAGAATGAGTCACGTTTAAAATTTAAATAATCAGCCGCCATTGCAACTACATTTTGTGCGGGCCTGTTGTTAGCAATCATATCCGGTTCGTTAGTCCCGCATCATATACGAATAGACTTTATTCACGTCTCTTTAATAGAGAATATTAGTTGAAATCTTGTAGGCTGGTTGACGCTGTGAGGGTCACCGGACCGTGGCGAGCTGATTAATAATTCATTAGAAGAATTAAGTGATGCCTGTCCAACAATAACAGCGTCTTGCTTAGTAAAGAACACAATAAATAATAATCTCACATTATACTTTATCTGTTTTTCTTTACGAATTCAGAAGGAAACGCAGTAAAACCAAACAATAACAGAATCTCAGCAGATTGCTGTGAATTGTATGGTTGTCAGTGGCAACATCTGTCAAAAACAATCTCGCTGTTAGCAAAATACTATAGTTTCAACGTATTTAAAAAATTATCGAATATTTTGGCAGAGGAGGTAATTACTACTCCAGTTATCAGCTGTTAAAAGTTGGAAACTTCTTACTTAAAACTTTATAAATGTCGCATATAAATAAGTTGCCATCGGGATATTTAATGTTAGAGGAACTATAAAGAAGAAAAAAAGAAGAAAAACAGGCATTATTTGCTCGGGACGATGATAGTTAAAATATTGATGCATGTCGTCTCCAAGAAACCGAAATCAAACAAAGGTTTGGAATTAATATCGTTGTGAGGCAGCACAAGTTAATATCTTTGGAAACAGACCGTAATTATTATGGAAATGGCTTTGTCATCAATAACAAATGGAAGAATAGGACCAAAAGATATTGGGCGAACAACGTTAGTATATAAACTGAACAGAAAGAAAGCATCACTAAAGTATATAATGTACGAGTTGAGAAAATTCTCTACATTAAAATAGATATATATGTATCGGAGTTACCCCCTCCTTAATTCCCAAATTCTCACCAAGGGTCTCTCTCTCCCCATGCTATAAATACTGGGAGACTTCTTGCCGCTTTCTCTTTTTCCCTCAGGCCTCGTGCCGCATTCCACCTCGCGTGGAGGTGAGGTAAATCTCTCTTTCTTCTTCATTTCAGCGACAAGATGTAAGCTCTTAGAAGATCAGCGTTTCTCATTTCTGGGAAAACGCTATGAACATTACAAACATACACGTACGTACGAACATTCACTACAATACGAACACTTACGAACATTCACCAAATAATTAAAAACACAATGTTCCCACACACTCAAATGTTATGTCTATGTGATTTGTAATTTGTTTAATACATATGTGTTGATATATATATATATATATATATATATATATATATATATATATATATATATATATATCTGTCTTGTTTGTCTTCTTTCATCTTCGGTTGGACAAATTAAATCCGCCAATTTTCATGTAGTTGAACCTTTTAATATTCTACCAGGAGTTACACACGTCTTTCTAATACAACAACACATAAATACACACACGGTCCTCTACATACGAAATAATAGAAGGAAAAAGTCTTTATTTAATATACTACAATAATTTACTAAACAAATATCAATGACAGCTGAATAATGAGTTCGATCCTCATTGGTGCCCTATGCTTTCGGCCTTATACCTCATCTATGCTCACTTAGAAAATCATTATGGGGATACTTTAATGTGGTGTAATATTTAGCGAACTTATCTCGCTAGATCAATTATGACTGACTAGTGAGTTCGATCCTCACTGGGCGTCCCATTCTTTCATCCTTGGGGCACAACTAAACTATGTTAAGGAGATCGCTATTATCTGAAATGCCTATATATTTTTGCTACATTGAACGAACAACCATAGTATGTACATTGAACAACATTATTAAAAGAATGCTTCTACGTTAGTATTTAGTCTACTTTCCGAGTCTACCAGAACTATACATCATTGAAGTATTTGAT